GGAAATGTATAGAATTCTACCTTAGTACACATATAAGCCGAGTGGGAGACAAGCGGAAATGTATAGAATTCTACAGAATTCTGTCACTGACTATGAGTGGGGGCTGGGCGGGGCTGCCGTGCATGATAGTGAGTCACTAATCAACTATATTCGTACTAATGTAGAATTCTGTAGAATTCTATACATTTCCGCTTGACTCAAACTTGGTCAGTAATAAATGTATCTCTACTAACGTAGAATTCTATAGAATTCTACCTTCCTACACATATATAATACATTAGCCGAATGAGAGACAAGCGGAAATGTATAGAATTCTATAGAATTCTACGTTGGCACATATATACTTTTTATTGACCAAGTTTGAGTCAAGCGGAAATGTATAGAATTCTAGGTGAGCAACTATGTCTGTACTAACGTAGAATTCTATAGAATAGCTGAATTGCAGGAACTCTGACATTCCTCTTTTTTGGACCTGGGTAGTTGATCAAAAGAACACTTTGATGCCATTTTGATCACATAAAGAACACTAGTACATATCAGAAAACTTATAAGAATATATTGTGCGATGGAATTCCAAGGAACACAGGTCACAGGAAATTCGCCGTATAGGGCAGTCGTAAACCGCCGTATTTCGTCGTAATACGATTGCTGTATACGGCTGATGTATATTGCCGTACGTGGCCGTATACGGTCGTTTACGACCGTGTCTATTGGATCTGGGAATTCCTAATGCAAACGGAACTTGTCCAGTTAACGGCCTCCCTTTTTTGCTCCCTTTTTCGAAAAGTTATTGAATAAAGCAAGAAACTAGTCTAAATGGCAACTGGATGATTAAGTAGATTAAACATTTCTCTACAAAATGAAAAGTGTCTCAGCTCTGAGTGTTGATGCATCAACGTGCATGCATGCTTTATGAAAATACAGCTATTGTACAAACAGCCCCAAAATCGATTTTTCGGCTATCTGAAAAGCGTGTCTAAAAGAATGAAGACGAACTGGTAAACATTGAACAAGTATACCAGTTTGTATAAAATTATTCGCTCTACAAGATGTGTTAGCTAGTCATGTTCGAAACCATTCTAATTAATCTGTATTAATCAAAGGAAAACCAGAAAAACGGTAACGCTGTTTTATTTAATTTGTTTCAGACACATGACACATGTTCAGAGACATGACACTCGATCTGTAAAAAGTTTTGAAAAGGTTTCATCCTTTTATGTGTTCTAACCAGGAAATACATTCAACTGTTACCTCGCTTTTTCAGCCAAACCCGCTGGGTTATAGGTAATCGACCATGCTGATTCCGAATATGAACATGAGAGCTTCCACTGGGCGTTCAAAGATCCGGTTTTCTGGAAAACCAGTTTTTCAGAAACTAAAAAGAACCAAAACCTTTCTTAACGAGACATAACTGCAGCGCACACATTTCTGATTAAAATAAGACATCTCCCAGCGCTATACAATCTTTCCTTGCAAAGTTACAGAATTTCCAAGAAAAGCCCTAAATGTTCATTGTCAGCTCAAAGCTACAGAAATAAGAAGAAACTAATTTAGGGCTTCTCTTGTAAACTCTGTAACTTTGCAAAGAAACGTCATGTAGAGCTGAAAGAGATCTCATTTTAATCAGAAATGTGCGCGCTGCAATTATGCCTCGTTAAGAAAGGTTTTAGTTTTTTTCAAAATTAGCTGCCCTCTTTGCGAGGAAAACGTACAGGGGTGATGATCTATCTGTACCGTTAAACTGTGGTGTATTTGTACGAATAGCCAAGTTGTTTATAATGTTAGTTCTAAGATCGGTGATGGATTTAGTCCTAAGGAACGAATTCCACTTCAGCTTCGATCAGGCGTACTGTAAGAGGCAACCTCTTCTAAGTGTAATCAAACGTACATTGAAAAACAGGAATCAGAAATGTTAAAATAGACTTAAACAAACAGTGACATAATATAAATAAAAGTCGATAAGAAAAATATTATTATATCAATTAAAACCAGAACAAGGTTTTATATTTTTCTTTTTTGTTATTATAGATGACCTTTGCACAAGTAGTAATTATCTCCTCACGTATAGACTACGGTAGATATTGAAGAAAAATTATATTTGCTCTTTTATTACCTTTTTCTCCACATATTCATCTTAGATGAATATGTTCAAGGTAGATGAATCATCTACCTTGAATAATATTACATGTGAACCTATAGAGAAGAAAAAGATCTACTGTTTTTATCCAGGAGTGACTGGCGATGATAGACAGTCTGATACGCACACTCATAAGTGCGAACAGGCACGTACCAGTACCACTAGTATTGGTCATATGGGTATTGGTATCGGATTTCTCCAACTTTTTTTTTCCATTTTCTTCCACTATATGGAGGAAATCGACGAAAGTCTGAAAAGACACTATTCTTAGACTGTATACACAAGATATTTCTGATTGTCTTCTTCTTCAACATATAATTTATTATTTATGAACATGAGAGCTTCCACTGAGCCTTCAAAGATCCGGTTTTCTGGAAAACCAGTTTTTCAGAAACTAAAAAAGAACCAAAACCTTTCTTAACGAGACATAAATACAGCACTCACAGTTCTGATTAAAATAAGACATCTCCCAGCGCTACACAACCTTTCTTTGCAAAGTTACAGAATTTACAAGAGAAGCCCTAAATGTTAATTGTCAGCTCAAAGCTACAGAAATAAGAAGAAACTAATTTAGGGCTTCTCTTGTAAATTCTGTAACTTTGCAAAGAAAGGGCATTTAGGGCTGGAAGAGATCTCATTTTAATCAGAATTGTGCGCGTTGCAATTATGCCTCGTTAAGAAAGGTTTTAGTTCTTTTCAAAATTGGCTGCCCTCGTTGCGATCTCGATACGAGGAGAAAATGATTTATTTTACCTAAGCTGCGTGCAAAAGTTGAGCAAAGCTTTATTTGAACTTATTATACATCGTTCGATAGAGCTCGTTGAGTTGATTAAGAAAATACATTTTTTAAAGTTTCAAAAAACTGTTTTCATGTCGAAAAATCGAAAAGCTCGGTATAGCGCAAAAACTCATGTTCTCTCGCGTATCGAGGGGCAGCTAAGATATACATATTGGTGATCGGCGCAAAATTCTCCACAAGGTAGGCTAGGCTCTCTTTTCTAGGGGGGGCACTCAAGTATGTTCTCTCGTTAGAGTAAATGAACCGCGCTATTTTCCATCTGACCTTTTTTACTTTTTTCGTCGTTTCTTCTTCTCGTGTGAGTTCAGGCACAGGCAATTGAGAACAACAGGAGATAGCATGTTTTACCTGGAGACGTTAAGTGTTAAGTAACCACCATCATAGTGAACTAATATCTTTACAAATTTTTATTATTTGAATATGAATACAGGACAAATGTTTAATAAATTCTAGTTTTTAATATACTTTTATTTGTACAAATATTACATTTAACAGCTAAACGTTTCGACGTTTGCCAACGTCTTCATCAGTAACAACTTAACAATTTTTAGAAAAACTTGGCAATGAAATCAAAAACAACACCCGTCTGTAATTCGATGTTAAATCTACAGTATTCTCATTTTCTACTCTTTGTACTTTTCAAATGGATATGACTAACTAGTAAAAACGAACAAAAGTAAAGCAAACAAAACCGAAACAAACTATATAGTCGTACTGTTAATTATTTTTACAGATGTTCAAATACTAAGCTTTTTACATAGACCTAACGAAATTTCTCACTGTTCCTGGCAGAACGACCGCGTTTGGAAATACAGCGCGAAGAATGTTCTCCTCCAACTTTCCTTTAGTCCGTTAGTTAAGCAACTTCTTTGGAAGTGTCTATTTAATTCTCATCTTTTACAATATAACCGCACGGTACGGTCTGTTTTTAACTTTATTAAGATTTATTTTGAATAACTATTTTTACGATTATTTGTTTTTATGTATAAAAAATATTCTTAAAGAAATCAAATGGTTACGATAGCAACCGGTTCAGAAAATTCTTCCGTTTCGTCGCAAAACGGTTGGAGTGAGCTGCGAAATGTCTTATTTATTGTATAGTCACTGGAAGTTGAAATTGTACTGTGGTTACTTATGTCTGTTGTTATACTACTCATGGTCGTTCTTCTTGTACTTGTTGCACTAGTCCATATTTGAGTTTTTGCCTTGAGACATGGTAACCGATGTATAACACGAATGAATTGTTTTCGAAACACTTTGCTTGTTAAACAATATAAATAAAAATTAATGACAAAGTTTAAATAATTAAAATTTCGTAACATTCTATTCTGAAATTTGTATAATGGAACGAGTTTACTGTTCTTTTTTTTTAAATCAATAACATACAAATCATAATAAACTCGATGAATTCCCAGTGGGACACATGTAATTAAAAATATAATTACACTGACAAACATTATTACTATCATTTGTTTTTCAGTTGATGTTTTTGTTTGATGATTTCTTAATGAGATTTTTCCACGTTTTAAATTATAAATAACTTTTATATTTGCTAATATCATTATCAATGCTGGTAGAAACCAGAAAAACAACGAGTCTATACAAGGCCAAATGTATGTCAGAAAATAAGAATAATCAGAATTTGCACTGAAATAACAATGTGCATCGGTTCCATTTGAACGTTCTTGGCCCAGGGTTGGTGACAAATAATGGCCATTGATCAAACATAATAATACAAATGTAATTCCCATTGCTTTAAGTGCATTTTTTGATGTACATATCTCTTTTGCACGAAATATGAATTGTGTTCTCAGAAATTTATCGCAACACAATCCAGCGATACACCAAGATGAGAAATCAGCTAATAACGTATCCAAAAATATATGAGATCGACATAGGTACACTGAATAATCTTCTAAATTAATGTTAAATGTATCATAAAGAAAATACCACAAAGTTGTGAGTAAAAAAAGATTATCACTAATTGATAATAGTAACAGAAATATGCACCCAGAAAATTGTCGCAGTTTTTTTGTTGAAAATGTAGCTAATGAACAAAAATTACCAAAAAAACCGATTGTATAAATAATAGGATACCAAATGGTACCTATTGTATCACCTAACTTGTCGTAATCAAACTCGTCGACTGCGATCGTTGAGTTTACCATATTAACATTGATTATCTAAAACAAAAATCGTCTTTTATATATTGTATTTGTCAACACTAGCTGAAGAGCGACTACGTATAGTGATCTGCAATTTTTTCTTATGTAAAAGACTCAGCAGTGGTGAAATTTAATCCTCAACGCAGTCAAAATTCATCTGTTACCAATTAGTGTAATTTATCAACACATTTCACACAATTTTGCAAAATATTCGAGATTCTTAGATAATTTTTCTATGTTTCACAAAATTCTGTTTTGTCTGGCAAATTTCTGACAAAAATCTCGAATATTTTGCAAAATTCTACAGAATGTGTTGACGAATTATACCAATTGGTAATAGATGAATTTTGGCTGGGTAGAAGACACGTTTTCATCAATGCACAGTTATGCGAATCATAAACACTTCTATTGTTCTCGCGTCCAATAAACTTCATCACCAATGAATCATTGATATGATACAGCGACATTACCGCGAACGACATTACCGCGAAGACTTGTTTGTTGGAAAAGCCGAATACATGGGGCCGGTTTTGTATTTTGTACATCATGTTTTCAAACTTAACTGACGTTATGTGGTGACTAGTCATTATCTGATACAGCC